TTTTTATGAATAAGAATAATTTTTTTTTTTGTACTTCTATAAATTTAACATAGAATATTGTTTAAAAAAGAAGAAAGTAATTTATGTAGGGTGTTATAAAATTATATAAAATTTTAATAAAATTAGAAAAATGCAAAATTTCACTCCTTAAATTGCCCCTCCTCCTTTTCACCCTTATTAGAGGGTCTGTGTCCACCAAACTAAATGAAACCTAAAAATTGCCCCTCCTTACTAGATATGGCTGACAATACAGTAAAAAATAGTGGGTTAAAGTTTCAGTTTTTTTGATACAGTACTTTAGTATTGACATTAAGTTTCAGAAAATGGTGAAAAAGAAAAAGAATAGTGAAAAAATATATATATATATTTAACATTATTTAACTACAAGTAAACATTACCTGATCTTATAATCAGCCAAGGTATGTACTAAAATCCAAGGTTGTTTAGTTGTTTTATATAAATGTGCTGATCTTATTTTACTGTCATTCTACTAATAAAAATAGTGGTTTCACCAAGTGAAATTTCATTTTCAATTAATTTTTATTTTTTTGTTTAGTTCTTCAATATTTTAATCAACACGGAAAAAAAATATTGTGACTGTAAAAAAGAAGAAACCTTTTTAAGCTATGGGTTTTTATGAATTACCAGAATGGTCAGTTAAACTAATTATAATAATTATTTTATTTTTATTGTGCATGATATTTGGTGTTGTACCATTAAATCTTTCACGAAGCTCCTCATTTGAAGGAAGAGTTTCTCCTACTCGCAATCTGCTTATTAGTTTGTCAAATTGCTTTGCTGGAGGGGTGTTTTTTAGCACTGTTATTCTTGATTTATTTCCATTGGTAAAGTTAACAGTAAATAATGCACTAATATCTGTTTATATTGATACTGATTTTCCGCTAGGGGATTTTATTATTGGTATTGGATTTATCTTTATGTTAATATTAGAGCATATAGTTCATTCTTGTTGCCATCCTAATCAGTTATCTTATGAAGCTCCTAAAAATGTTAATAGTAACCAGGATGAATTATCATGTAATGAAAATAATCATCTTTTATCTCATGACAACAACTTAGATATAGTTACTGATATTGAGATAAACAATTCAGAAAGACAGCTGCAACAAGTTGATATGCAACAAAACTATTCTATCATCACGGAAAACAATACTGTTGAAAATGAACATGTCTTAGAGAAAAGTTCTAGTACTAATGATGTGTTTTTTCCTGTACCTAAAAAACATTACAACAGCAATAGAGTAGAAAGTAAAAGTCTTGCTTCAATTCAAACTATTGAAAAAGTTAATTTTCGTGCCTATGTGTTAGTATTTGCTATATCCCTTCACTCTTTATTTGAAGGGTTAGCAGTTGGTCTTTTGAACAAAACGTCCGATATTGTTGAATTGTTTGTAGCTTTGGTTATTCATAAAAGTATAATTGCATTTTCAATTGGTGTTCAACTAGTGGATGCTAAAATGAGCTCTCCTACAGTTGTTTTATGTTTGGGAATATTTTCTTCTATGACTCCTATTGGTATTGGATTAGGAATGGCTGTCCTCAGTTCTTTTAACTCCTTGGCCCTTCGGTTGTGGTTTTCAGGGGTATTACAAGGAATTGCAACTGGCTCATTTTTGTATGTCACTTTTTTTGAAGTTTTACCTCATGAGTTGAGTATTTCAGATGAAAAAAAACTTTTAAAGATTCTTTTTGTCATTCTTGGTTATGTTGCTATCACAGGCATATGTTACTATGAAAACCGATTTTATAAACTTAGTCATGATCAACCACTTCCTCCGACAAAGAACCCTAACTAATAAAAAAGTTTTTTTAAATAGTTTTTGTAATTTTTATAACATTTCTTAGGTTTATAAAAAATTATTATTTTTAATAACGATTTTTGTGTTTTGTTAATTTTTTAAATCTTTATTTTAATGTTGAATATTTAAAAAATAATTTTATTGTTTTGTTTTGTTTTAATTAATTTTGTTTTGATTAATTTTTGATAAATTATTTTGTTTTGTTCTGTTTTGATTGCCTATGAAATAAGTTAATATATAATGTGTAATAAAAAGTAATGTATAATTATATTATATAAATGTATATTATAATATACAATAGTTATGAGATATCTCAAGACATTTCTCAATTAAGCTTGAAAATGCTATTTTTACGTCTATTAGAAGAAAGCCTTTAAGAATAAATGAGCCATATCCAGGATGCAATCCACCTCATTTTGGAGGTTGTGAAAGTGAACGAGATTTATGTTAACGTGATTATAACTTAAATTTTTATAAAGTTATGATTAGTGCATCCAATACCCATCTCAATTTTCAATATTTCCGGTATTTCGGTACTAAATAATTTCAATATTGAGTTTTTTTTTCTTAAACGCGTTTTCTACGTTAAAGCCAGTGACGTAAAGCTAGATTTTAAATAAACACTGTGCATTGAAAATAAATCATGGTATTCAATAGAATAAATTAAGTTTAAAGCACGCACTGAACAAAAAAAACGCAATTCTTAGTCACTAAAATAAATAAACTTTAATTTTTCGTAAAATATAAGTTTCACAAGTATGCTTTTTTAAAGATAATATTTTGAATATTAGTAAAAGTTTCCTGAAAGTTACAGGATTGCATTCTATCAAATGATTAGAGTTACAGCAATCGTGTAAATCCAGTTCAAGTAAGATCACACACAGATGTTGAAAATGTGTCACTTTCTTGTAGTTATTTTTTGAAAATAAATTGCTTGTGAATATTTCAAGTGAAATATCTCTACAACTCATATTTTCGAAGAAAATTAACAGTCATTAAATATTTCTTTTTAAAAAAGTCATAGACACACACAAAATTAAATGATAAAAACATGTATATTTAAATATTCAGGTATATAAAATATATTTTATATATAAATATTAAAAAAATATTTTTCTTAGAGTTGTTCATAATGGTAGGCATATTGCTAAGTCTTGACTTCTAATTATAAAAACAAAGAAAAATAAAAAATTACGCGCAGAAATGGAAATATTCTGCTTTGTTAATAGAAGGAAAAAAGAGTTTATCTTTAGCTAACAATTTTTATCAATAAATTTAAACAAAAAATCAATTTAACGACTTATCATTTCCTCCATCCCAAACTCTTGAGCGAGCGTGATTTTATATTCTCATTACAAGTTGAACGAGTGTTTTTTATCGCGCCTAGAAGTTTAAAATATTCCATTTTGTGTTTTACGTGAAGAAAGTGATCGCGCATGAGCCTTGTACGTATATTTTTCAATATCGGTATTGAGCCAGTATTTCGGTACTTAAAAAATCCCGGTATTCTGGTATCGGTTCTACCGGTATTTGATGCACTAGTTATGATGAACTAGCAATTACCTTTTTTCTAAGAAAGAAAAAAAAAACTGAAAACATTGAAATGTTTTAAATTAAAAAGTATATGTTTGTACACTGTAAATGTCACGCCAAATTGTCTAATAAAACTCCTATATCACCAAGCCCGATTTTTCACGCGACATTAAGAATTAAAGTTGTCTCGCGACTTTCAGATATTACGTTTGGTGTGGCATTTATAATTATAGTTGTCACGCAAATTTTTTAAATTAAATATGGCGTGACATTTAACTTTTTATTTGTCACGGGACATCTAAAAGGGTCATGGTAACAACATCCGAATTTCATTGATGTATAATAACATCCGTGCAACTACATCGATAGATTTACCGGATGTAATTTACATCCGAAAATTTTTTTTTTGTAATAATGCACTATTTTAACCATATGTAGTTAAAAATCTGATTTTTTTCGGATGTATTTACACATCTGATTTTTTTCGGATGTAAGCATATCCAGAGAAAAAAAAATTATACTAATACATTATTTTAACCAGATGTAGTTACACATAATTTTTTTCGGATATAACTAGATCCAAAAAAATAATTATTCAACAATGCATTATTTTAACTAGATGCAGTTACACCTCTGAATATTTTCGGATGTAACTACATCCGGAGAAAAATCTTTAGAGCTGACTGGGATTCTTTTTTTAAATTTTCTTTGTGACAGTCCATGAAAAAGTCCAATCCAAAAGCTAATAAACATTTACAAAAAATCAATAAAAATGAATTCATTTAAAGCGTTTTGATTCCAGCGGTTCTCTACGACAAGACCTCAAGGACTTCTTCGAGTTTCCGCATTCTTTATTCCTAATTTTTATTGTTATATTTATTGTCATATTTCTATTGTTAACGAAATCTTTATTGTAAATATTATTTATTTCTTTTTTTTATGTCTTACGTTTTATTCACAAGTTATAATAGAAATTGTAGTAATGATTGTAATAAAGAATAAAAAAAAAAAAAAAAAAAAAAAAAAAAAAAAAAAAATGTCTTTTCTCTCTCTGATGATAAATGTGCTTTTTATTATTCCTGCAATATCCTGGATCCAGGCCAGGGACAAACCCAAACCTATTTTGGTATCGCTGGAACAGTATGGAAGCTTTATTTTGGGTGCCTAAAATAAAGCTACCAAAAAATATTTTCGATTTTTTATTAAAAAGAAAAAAAAATTCGGTTTCAAATACAGTAGCTTATAACTAAATTAAAAATGAATTTCCTTATTAATGTTTTGTATTCAATTAGTTATTGTCTATATAATATTTTAATTATAATTAAGGCACAAAAACGCATTGAACCTGCTCTTGTATCCAACCTCCAACCATTATCACACTGTCATAATGTTGCTTCTCTTTTCTATAAATATTATAATGGAAATTGCTCTAAATCTCTTGTGCCACCTACTAAAACTCATTTTTATGTTACTCGTCATTCAATCAAGTCTCGTCCTTTTACTATTACTGTTCCTAAGCGCAGGACTCAAATTAAATGATTGCCAATTGCAATATCTAGAAATGTTTCCGGTCTTTAAAAACTAGCTTTTTAAAAACCATAAACTCAATAGCTGTTACTCAGCGTAGTGAAGAGAGATCCCAACGATTTGCATTTCTTAAAAACAAAAATTTACATTCTTAAACTTCAAATTTTAGTGTTTGCCGCTTATTTTCGATAATTACTGTTATATATTTTTAAAAAGTAGAATTTAACCTTTTTTTATATAACTTATTATTTTTTTATAAATATTTTTTTTTAACCAAAGCATCAAGCAAAACAAAACTACCACTAAAATACATAAAACGCGACGGGGCAGTGTAATAAAAACAGCTGAAATAAATGTGTTAAGGTGGTACCTCAAGAAATATAATAAAATCTGATTGGAACTAGAGCACACTTTTATTTTTACAACATAAATGCATAATTTAAAATAATTTTTAAAAATGCTATCAAACTTGAAAATCTTTGCCTCAATTATTCCAAAAAAATTAAAAATAACCACATAAATAATTTTTGTGAAGTAATTACTTAAAATTTACTTGTCATTTTAGCATGAAATTTGGAACATTTTTTAATCATGGTAACATAATTCATTTGAGAGAAAAGAAATGAAAACAAATGAATATTTTAGAAATTATGCATAAAACACTAAAAAGTAAGCGAGCCAAACAACCCTAATATAACAAAATTTCAAGATCTAAAATGCATTGAAAAAAAATCTTTTCTCAAATGAATTTTAATAATATGAAGAACAATATGTGAAAATTTCAGAACTTTTGCATTATTATTTAAAAAGTTATCATTTCGCAAACTTTAAAAACTAGTGAAAAAGTATATTTTGAGATTTTGTGATATAAAAATTAAAATTACTCAAAAAGCATAAAAAAATTTCTGAAATAAATATATTATAATAAAAACCTCCATATTCATATGATATTTTTTTAGTTTTCTTAACTTTATTTGAGTATCCTTTTTTTATTACTTTTTAACTGTTTACGTCTCTTTATTTCTTGGGGTACCACCCCATTTATTTTCGTATTATTCGTATTATAGTATTTACATTCCAAATATGCCTCTTTTATTCGAATGTAAAAACTCTTTGTTTACAACATAAAATATTCAATAAATGCTTTATCTTTCCGTAAACAGTAAAAACGTTAAAACCGAAGTTTTCACATTAGTTTTTCCTCATAGCAATTTACTTCCAAAATCTCTTTATAATCGTTTGAATAAATTACTAAACAGAAACGTTTCAGCTTTTATATAACTTCTGCCCCATAGTATTATGCTAAAACTTCAAACTCGTTTTTAATAAATTCACAGAATATTTGTAAACAATATAAAACAACGAGCTTCGTGATTTAAAAAAACAAACCCAATCAAAACCAGAGTTGTTAGTCTTGGCCTGGCTTTAAGGTCAAAAATTGAGGCCTTGGCTTTAAAACTGTTGGCCTTGGTCTTGGTCTTGGCCTTGAGAATTTTGGCCTTTGCTTTAAAAAAAATATATATATTTTCTTATTGATTTTGCAGAATTCTGTAGAATTCTGCACTAGCTACTTATAGTTTTGTTGATAATTGGTCTTAACGTAAGGTAAAAATTAAAGTATTTGGTCTTGAAAATGTTTTGCCTAGGCCTTGGCCTTGAAACTCTTGATCTTGGCCTTTTCCTTAAAACTCTTGGCCTTGGCCTTTTAACTTGTGGCCTTTTAACTTGTGGCCTTGTTAACAATCATGATCAAAGCGCACACAAAATATAACGGCATTTTTTAAAAAAGAAAGGGCTATATATTTCTTTGATTTCTCCTTAACTACGCTGAATATTCAATAAAAAATATTTATATTGATCATGAATTATGAAATCTTATTTAAAAAACTATATTATTTCTATTATTTTTATCGCTTTTAAAATTATGATTCAAACTTTCTTACGGAAACCACATATAAAATCGATTGCAATGTTAACATCTGCTAAGGTTGTTTCTTTTTATCATACCCGCCATTATCTTACTCCTGATTCTATTATGTACCTTGAAAAATCTCTTATTCATCCATGTATAGAATACAGCCATCATAATTGGGCTGGTTCTTCTAATGTTCTTTTTGTTCTAGCCAAGGTTCAAAAACGCAATGTAAACATAGCTGGACCTGCTCTATCAGTGAAACTCAAGTCTTTCTTCCATCGTCATAAAGTTCCATTTATTTCTCTTTTCTACAAATACAATTATGGTTGCTGCTCAAAGGATCTATCTAGTTGTCATAACTAAAATTCTTGTTTGCCATTCAGCAAAATCTTATTCTTTTACTTGTTTTCCTGACTCATACAACGTACAACTTTTTAAGTCTTCTTTCACGCATTTCCTTACTCTTTAACTCTATTTTTTTTTATTACTCCTATTTTAAGTTTGCAGTTTTGTTAGGAGTGAATTAAAATTAAAAAAAAAAAATTGAGTTTATCGTTTATTACTTTAGAAACTTATCGGTTCCATTTAATGTAACTTAATATTCAGTAATATTTTAAAAATAAAAGTCATACAAGTAAAATTAAAATGGAAGGTAAATAATAATCAACTATACACAATTTAATCAGGTGTGAATAAACATGACATTTATTTCTTATAATATCTAATATTACAGGTGTTATAGATACAAACATGTGTTATTTTTATTACTGTTGTTGATATTTATTGTTATTTTTATTTACAGAAAACTAACATTAATAAGTATATAAGAGAGCTTAAAACCTTATAATATATGCAACTATTTATTATAAGATTCTGATTTATATAAAATACTTATCAGCATAAATATATTTAAGCAATATAAAAACTAAAACAAAGCTCTATATAAAAAAAGTTAAACCAAAGTTTGGATAAAACAAGCAAGTCACACTTTTTTCAAAAGTGAGGTTATTTGAAAAAAATATCTTTTTTAGGAAAAGTTGATGCTTCGGATAAATTTTTTTTTCTGATTTAAGATATAAGGTGTAAACACTTATTACTTTAAAAAAACTACAAAAAACATTTTCATTCAATTTTTTACAGGAGAAACATTTTTCACTCTCCTGTAAAATTTTAATTTTTGTGACTCGTCACGTTTCCAAAATACAGTGTTCAATTGGTTTGTATCTTGTTTTTTTTAATTCAAAATTACCAAAAAAATATGGTGCCTGTTATGATGTTAACATGGACAAGATAGCTTTCATTCAAGTAATAAAAGCTATATAAATATATACATACATAAATATATAATAAAATAACTCTTTTTTTCTGATATTTAACTAAATACACGCAAAAAGTTAATAGTATTTACGAACTAAACCCAACGTTGATCCAATGTATGCGACCAAACATTGCTATTGCGATATTATACAACTTAAATAAAATCTTCTGTGATTATTAAAATATTAGGCCACAATCATTGTTCATATGATCAAGCCTTGACAACTTTATAAATATATATAGTGTTAACGTGGGCTATATATATATATATATATATATATATATATATATAAAACACATTTATTATAAGAACTTAACACCTTTATTATTTATATATTATTATTTTTATGTATGTTAAAAACAATGTTTTACGTGTAATAATATAAATTAAATGGTAATTATCAAAAAAAAACCACCTTAATTTCCAAAAATAATAATGTTGATTATATAGTACACTACATACACTGGGATTATGGCAGTTTTAAAAATTCATTTTACCTGATTTTCACCTATTTTCAAGTATTTTTTCCCCTGAGTTTGCGCAATGAAAAGTATATATTTTTCCTGTTGAAAGATACTTTCGCAACAGAATCCATGTTCCCTAAACATATGGTTACTATATAAAACCACTGAAGTTAGTAACTTTCAATATTAATAAAGATTCAAACATTTAATATTGCAAACTAACTTATTAATAATAATAACATTTTAGACACAAGTATTCACTGAATAAAAATAATTTGTAATTGTCAACTTAACAGATAAGAAAATAGAAAAATTAAATAAATTCAAATTTTAATTAGTTAAAAAAAATGATACAAAGATGAACAATAAAGTTAAAGTATTGAACATAAAGTTTAAATTAAAACTGTGCAGGTCACTTAAAAGTTATATTATTGCTTATGTACAAGTAATAATATAACAGATGATGTGGGGTATTTTTGTTTCATGCTTCATTTTGTTTGTTGTTTAATTATTTTAATCTTTGTATTATGTTAAATTTTCAATATATCTATATATTACATATAAATATGTTAACTTTTAGGATTTTGATGATATGATCCTTATGATCTTCTTTTTGAAACCTAGCTTTATATTGTTAGTACACTAAATTGTTTATTTTTTTTAACGACTTTTATGTTATTTTGTATCGCAACTATCATTGTAAACTGAAAAAAATAAAATAAAATAACAATATCTAATTTTTTGTCAACAAATTTGTTTTTGTAATTTTGACTTTTATATTACTTTAAATATTATAAACCGTAATATATTTTTACATAACACTTTTGTAAACAAATCACATGCATAAACTTTAGTTATTCAGTTATGAAGAGTATTTAAAAAAAAGGTTATTGAGTTGTCACAAAAAAATAGGATTGAAATAGAAAAAAGAGACATACAAAAAAAAAAAAAAAAAAATTCAAGTTCATTAGATTCGAACTAAACTAATAATTAATAAAAAAAGATGTAATTTTTACTGTACATTGATAAAAATTAACTTTTAATACTAAATGAAAAAAAAAAAAAAAATTTTATTATAAGTATGAAAAACTTTCTTAAGTATGAAACATTTTCTTTTAGTTTACAGATCTAATTCCAATATATTAATCCTGGTTGTTACATTGGATATATCCACTGTTCCTACCTCGTCATTAATTTATTCTAATTATACGTAAATATGCGTTACCGCCATTATGGAGGACAAACAAGTAGTTTGGCAATGTCAACAGAAAGCGAATATTTGTCTAAGCTTGATTCTAATGCAAAGCAAAGATACTTAGAAAAAATAAGCTTTATAAACCACGTTGACCCATTAACCCATATCTTTTTAAAGATACTAATTTCTCTGATAATATAGATAGTTATCCAAATGTTACATATCCGGATATTGTTAACTATTTTTTATTTGCTCCAAGTCCTCTTACTAAGGATTAGTTAAAAGCATACAAAGCTCTTGATTCTTATAATCAATTTGTATCAAGTTGGGTTATCAACGCTGGTGTGAAATTATTTGAGAAATATGAATAAGAATTCATGGCAGAGTAGGTTATTTAATTATTAGTTCAATATTAAAATAGAAATGGATTTCTTGTTTTAATTTTTTGTCCTAATTTTTTTAGGTGAAACACTCTCAAAAAATGAATGATATACCATTACATCCATGGATTATTTCGGAGAAGTCAGGAAATATCGTTTGTGCACATTGCAATTGCATGGCTGGTCTCGGAGAAAGCTGTTCACGTGTTGGTGCGGTACTATTTCATATTGAGTGTGCAGTTAAAATTAAAAGTTCAAAAACATGCACTGATGAAAAAGCTTATTGGTTACTACCAAGCTCTAAAAAGATAGAATTCAAGCCTGTTTCAGATATAGTTCAAGGCATAATCTATGACAAAAAAATAGCACATAGAAAAAGTAAAAAAATAGCACATTGAGCAAAGTAAAAATGTTGAGAGTACAACTTCAAGCAAAAAGTAAAAACTGGTTTTACTTTAGGGCAGGTTGTATAACTGCTTCAAAATTAGGGAGTGTATGCTGCGCAAACATCACCCAACCACCAATCAGTTTGATTATGCAAATATGCTACCCCATTCAAGCACGTTTTTGCACAGCAGCAACAAAATGGGGAAATGACCATGAAAAAAAATTATTGTATAAAATTGAAATAAAAATGTAAACTTTTAATAAAAATATTTGATACTTAATTTGATAATATTTATTTTTGTTTATAAGATCTAGTTTCAATTAATTCTTCTATCCTGTTAAATTTTTAAAAACTATTCCACAGGAATAATTGAATCACATATATTTATCAAAGAAGAACAATCAATAAAATTTTGTCTATTGTGCATAATCCAGAATCTTTAGTATATAAGTAATCTAATGGCATAATACTTTGCAGAACTTTATATTTGTTATGTAACAATCCAATAACTCTCTCAACGTGTACAATGAACAATTTTTGTGTCGTAAGTATCTTTCTCTAGGTTTCTCAACCTCAAATTTAAACTTTTTGTGCCCCATATTTAAGGATGGAACCCAATCAGGACCATTCTGTGAGAAAAGAGAAGCAGGTTTTCCTAAAAAAAAAAAAAAAACAATTAATGATATTAAACTTTCAAAGTAATAAAAATATTTCAAAGGTAAAAAGGCTTATTCTACCTGTAATAAAATGATCACTGCAAATTCGAGTGTGGAGGACATCAGGATAGTTACCAACTCTGTTTATGGCATTTATCCATTTTTCTCTACGTTCTTTTGATAAAATCTTACCATTATCGCCTTGATTGCAAACTACTTTTGGTAAACGAAAAAAAATTTCCTTTTTCACGATTTGAATGATTGGAACATCCAAATACAGCACAAAAGTTGACCATACTATAATTTTATTATTACAATATTTGCATATTTATATATTAAACTTTAATTTAAAATAAAAAAATGATAATAACTAAATAAATCAGATTAGAATTTATATTTTCTTATTCTGGTTATAAATACATTAAATTTTATAAAATATTATATTTTTTGAAAAAACTATGAATATTATAATTAATATATTAGTTCCGCTAACTTAGTTGTCCTCCATAATGGCAGATTTGAAATCAAAAAAACTCTTAATTATTTCGTGACGTCGAGCTAGGAACGGTGAATACGGAACGCAACCTTGTCAAACCCCTATTCCGACGTTGAGCCTCCTTTGCGTCCGCAAACTCGTATATCTAGGCACTGATCTCAAAATATAACTGGATAGCGGATTCTATTGTTTTTTCCGAAAAAAGTTGAAGCCGAAATTGGCCTCCCAAGATTGCGGCGATTTTAGTTCCTAGCGGTGAAACCGATATACATTCTATTTTACTTTACCAAAATACAAAAGAAAATAATGCAATAAGACTAATACATTTATAAAAAAAAATAAATGAATTTTATAATAATTAGAGAAAAAAAAAGAAATTTTTTGAAATAATTGAATTTATTATTAAATGGAATGAGTGAAATTTACAATTTATCAACTGTAATTCTTCTTCCTGGGTGCTTTCTCATCCATGTTGTGCATACTAAGTTATAAGCACTTTTCAAAGATTTTAACAAAGTTTGATCAAGTGGTTGGAGCTTATGGGATGTATGTGGTGGTAGTGATAAAATATGCAATCCATTTATGCTAGCATAATTGATAAGATCAATTATGCTAGCAAAAACGGATCATTTTTGGTGTGTGATTTGTAACCATCAAGAATTAACAAACACTTATTTGTAGTGCTACAATTTCCATGTATTACAAAGTGTCTTATAAAATCCATAAACAAATTTGTATCTACCCAACCACTTTTAGAACAGCGTCCAACTGTTCCTGGTGGTGCATCATCAATCAATGAATCTAGCATCCGTTTTCTTTTAAAAATAATCATAGGAGGTATGCAGTGTCCCACACAATTAAAAGCTAGTATAACAGTTGTTGTTTGGCCTCTCTCTCCACTAGTTACTGAAGATACAACACGTTGGCCTGTAAAAATACAATTATAAAAACATAGATAATACAAAATAAAAATAAATACACACACAAATAATATTTTGGTGTTTCACTAAAGCAAATAAAAAATTTGCAACTTCTCACTTATTACCTTTATGAGCTATTACTTTTAAAGGCTTGTGAACACATGTTAATCCAGATTCATCACAGTTGTAGATGCGATTTGCTTCAAATTGGTTTTCGTTAATAAGTTTTTCCAGATTGTCAAAATATCTTTGAACAGCAGCCTTATCTAAATCAAAAACTCGATTTATGGATACTGCCTCAGGTTTTCGAATAGACAAAAAGGGTTGTGGTTTCAAAAATCTAACTATAAAATCTCGATCTACAAGTTTCTTTTTAGTATTAAATAGAGGGTTTATTTTATTGCGTACAACATAGTCATACACCACCCTTTGAAGTTCATTAATTGATAGACCATAAAAGACTAACTCCATTTTGATAATATACTGTGCTAAATCATTTTCTTGAGCATCAAATAACACTTTTCTATAAGAACCAAGCAATTTTATGTGTGGTTTATCATCAGACATTGTTTTTATTGATTTATTAACAAAAATTTTTTGATTTTTCGGAGCATATGTCAGAGTATCTAAAAATTGAAACAACTGAATAATGGACTGTCTCATCTTTCCCACAAAGACCGTATGTTAAAAACATAAAATTCTTACAATAAATCAAATTAAGACTTCTTTTCTTTTTGGGGTATGAATAATATGAATAATAAAGAAATCTTTTTTAAAAAAATAAGCAGCACGACACTGGTACATCTAAATATTTATCAAGAATATGAATTGCATTAAATATGTCTTCACTAAGAAACGCGTTGAAAAAAATAATGGCTTTACTAAGTTTCAAAACTACCAGTTTCAAACCTGCCTACCCCAAACCCTCAGTCGTTGTTTACACACTCCGCTGCATGTTCTCTCTAAAAATCAGTCATTGTATGTGCGCACCGCTGTGCAAATCCCTATATACCCCATTTTCCCTATTTCCTAGAAATCACTGATCTCAAAATATAATTGGATAGCGTAGTCGGCAAATTTTTTGAAGCCAGTTTTAGCCTCCCAAGATGGCGGCGTATTTAGTTGATTACAAATTGAAAAAATTAGGTTACGAACTTTTATATCTTTTTTAAATGAAAATAAATGTATGAGCCTCAAATACAAATATATTTTCCGATTTTACATAGCAAATATTTTCTACAAAAAACGCAATATTTCATATTTACGTAAATTTCTAAAATGTATATAATATTTTGTTTAACAAAATATACTCTTAATAATTAGTTTGTATAATATCTTTCTTTTTTATATAAAAATTATTTAATTATATAAGGAAAATTCAATAAAATAAAGATAACAATTTTTAGTTAAATAATTAAAAATTAGTTTATTTTACATAAGTAAGAACGCACTAGAAACTAGTATTGTACCTAGAACCTAATAGTTAACTATTAGGTTCCACTAATATATATATAACTAGTTATAACCTATTAGTAGAAGTAAATTCAAAAGTTTCCAAACAACTTTAAACATGAAAAAACGAAATAATTTTATTTTTTTATTTATATTTCATTTATTTACTTTCTTTTAATTTTAGTTTTACCATAAATTAATTGTTTAATATTGTTTTTTATACAATTTATGTACCTTTTAGTTCTTAACTACCCAATGCTGTGTGCTAGAAGGTTAATAACACAACTGCATGGTAGGCAGCTGAATATCTTTTAAAATAAACTATTATAAATTAGTTTTTCAAATAGATATCACAAATTTACAAATGCTGCATGAACTGTTAGCTGAGCTCTGTGAGTACACACAACTCAGAGGTTCCTTCTAGAATTATATATATATATATATATATATATATATATATATATATATATATATATATATATATATATATATATATATATATATATATATATATATATATATATATATATATATGAGCAAAAGAAAAAAGAATCTAAAGCTTTTAAAATATGAATTTGATCTCTGATGCTGCAGTTTCCATTTGTTTATATTTGGCTGTGAGTTGTTGGCATTTGATATTGTTATTAAACATTCTTGCAGATCTCTTAGCTAAATAAGATCTCACAGCACAATAAAGAGCTTGTTAGATGGTTTTGACTGAGTTTATATGTTAAATGATTTTATGGTGAACTTTCGTTTTCTTCTCAGTCGAGATATATGTTTTAAACAGATTTAACTGCTACCAAATATCTAATGAAATCAGATTTTAGAGTATACAAGATTATTTGTGTACCAATTAATCTCTTTAAGACTAATGATATAATTATATGTTATGTCAAGAAATGGAAAACAAATAGCCTTGTTACATACACACAATGCTGACTTGTATCCATTATTAAATAGGTTTCTTGAATTTAATGTCATCTAATCAATCTTTTATGCGAATAAACTCATCGGCATACATATAAAATTATTTAACTGCAACATACAGTTTAATAATAGAAAAAAAGTCAGCAAATTATAACATATATCTGTAATTCTTAACAACCGGTAAACATTATATATAACTTTAATTAAAGAGATATTTCAAAAAGGTGTTTTGAATATTTGTATATTAAAAATTTAATAAATTCAATCTAGTAAGCAGGGAGGGGGGTAATTTTCAGATTTAATGATTTGTAAGCAAGCAATCACACTATTTTGAATTTCCTTATGTTTTTTTTTAAATTTTAACTTTATTTAGACTGCCTAACTATATTATTTCCGTTTTCAAACAACTTGGTGTGTTTAATATACAAACTTAGCAGGCCCAACAGTTGGTCCAACAGGGCCAACAGTTGGTCCATGTGTTTAACGACATATCTGATTGTTGTAGTTGCTAATAAGCTATTTTCTACTAAATAACCCAATCTCAAAGGAGCAACATGAGTTTGTTTAGTAACTAATACTACTTAAGTACTAACATTTTAAAAAGTCTTCATGACTGGACTTCATATCTGTAATGCCACATTCCTACTGATATTATTTTGATTTATTGAAAGCTTTGATTACACTATGACACATTACTTAGTTAACTTTATATTACATGTAATATAAAGTTAAATTAAGTAATATGTGTTATTACAGGATGTAACAATGTGAAAATTGTTAAAAGTCATAACAAGATAAAATTTGAAACAGTGTAAAGTAAAAAAATATGTAATGTAATTTAAAATGTGTCTAATATATTAGTTTTATTATATTGATGGTTCTTAAAAACGATAACAATGAAAAGATTAGACCTTATCCCAAATATACGTGAACTAGGAGTTGATAAATTAAAATTATGGAAGGATTTACTTAATGAAATGAAAAATACTGAAAAAATTTGCAAAGAAAACTTGAATAAAGTTAAGGTTGCTTTAGTTATATTTACTTCAAAGGTGAAGAAAAAACTTAAACAATGTGGACGAAACTATGATACATTTATACAAAAAGAAAATTGTTGGCTTCAAAGAAATCTTATGAACAATAAAAATACCCATTTTGGTTCTGGAAGGCCCCATAAACAATGGAGTGCTCTTGGAGAGAGAAGCAAAAGAAAAAATGAAGCAAAAGAAATCATGAAGCTCTATTTTTAGCTTTTGCAAAAAGTGCAAATGCTGCTGGAGAAAAAAAAAACCTCTATTTTAAAAAACAATATATCTAATGTTTTAGAGATAGAAAAAGTTGATAAAACTTTGGATAAAACTTTTCCCATTAACATGAGTGTAGAGGATGCTCTTGCATTAAAAATGAGTACTGATCTCAGCGATAAACAATATCAAATGATCAGAAACTCAGCTCTTGTACGCAACGTACATATTTATCCTACCTTACACGATATTTTTGTGGAAAAATTGAAATGCTATCCTGAGAATATACATTTTTCTGAAATTTCTGCAAAGTGTGCTCTTCAAAGCATGTTAGATCACACTGTGAGTAGAATAACAGAAATGATTGCTATGCCTAATTTTGGTCGAAGTGATGAAATATTTGGAGTTTTATATGGAAAGATTGGTTTTGATGGAGCATCAAGCCAAAGTATTTATAAACAGAAATACGATACAAGCAAGGCAAGTATAGAACTAACGCATGAAAAAAATCTTTTCAGTGCAGCTTTTGTGCCTTTATTGCTCAAAGTAGAAGATGGCGATATTTGGAAAAATGAAAATCCTTCAAGCTATCACTTTTGTAGACCTCTTCATCTACAATATAAAAAAGAGAGTCCAATTTTATCCAGAGAAGAAGAATCAGATCTAAAAAATCAAATAAATAGCTTAAAGACGTTTTGCAAAGTTTTTAATATTGCAGGAAGAATTTTGACATTTAGTATCAGCTATAGGATTGATCTTACAACGTTTGATAATAAATAGTTAGCGCACTTACAGAGACAAAATCCACTCAATCCTGCAATGTGTACAATGCTAAACCCAAGGAAATGAACAACATTGATTTATTAAAAGCAAAAACTGAGAATGACTCGGCCTTGGGGCTCGGAATTTCAGCTTTGCATTGCTGGATAAAATGCTTGGAGTTCATTTTTCATCTGAATAAATAATATATAAAATTGAAATTAAAAAGTATAAGCCAAAACCAATTGAGGAAAAACTATCTTTAGACTTTAAAAAAAAAGAGATTCAGGTACTCTTCAGAGAACGGTTAAGCCTATACCTTGCTATGCCTAAAACTGGGTCTGGAAACACGAATGACGACAACACTGCCAGAAGAGCATTTAAAAATAGTGAAGTTTTTTCTGAAATTACTAAAGTTGATTGTGATATAATTAAAAGATTGCATAATATTCTCATAACCATATCTTGTGGATATCCTATTAATATCAATGAATTAGATTTAT